TCCATTGTTAACAGGCATTTTGACATCTGTGACTGGGGTCTGCATTCACAGGCCTTGATGCTCAATTCTGATCTTTTTGTGTTGTTGGATCACATTCATGTGTCCGGCTCCAATATGAACACAGTTGATTTCCTAACTGCCACTCATGCATAGATTTAACTGAAATGTGAGCCGCATGCATACAACAGTAATGTTTGTGCGCAGTTCACTGAAAAGCTGCCTGGCTACAACATTTTCCTCCCAGCTTGGCTTGAACAGAAGCTTCTCCATAAATATTCAACAAATTTGAAATGACCCATCTCTCCACCGACCCCCGTCAGTGGAGAGATGGGTCATGGGATGGGAGATTGTTGCTTTCCCTCTATATTTATTTTTACTGCTCTGTGAGGGGTTGACACTGAATGTTGATGACAGGCAGTGTGTGTGTGTGTGTATGCAGAGGAGTGAGACATAAAAAAACAAATGAATTCTGATCTCACTGTCCCACAGCAGTCGCATGGTCAAATATCGGATATGAATCAGAACTAAGACTAAATATGGAAGTCACCCAGACCCGATTTGGGGGAAAAAAAATCATATTTGGGTTGTTCATATCAATGAAAAGATCAGATCTGAGTCATTTGAGGGAAAGAAATGACATTTGAGTCACTTCAGCAGGTAATGTGAATGTAGCTTTGTGGTAGGTGTCAAAAGTCTCGATGGCCTCAGAATTACATACAGTGAATGTTTGAGTTGAATTTTTTTGTAGATGCTTGGTCTCATTATAGTTCACTCAGATATCTCAGGTAATTCATGTATTATCATATTAAGGTAGTGTTATTGTGAAAAGGGAATTGACTTTGAAAATTAGAGTTAGAACCATTAATTTATACCAGCATCTCTGAGCCCTGGGTTTCCCATGGGTTGGCTGAGACACTGCAGACCGATACAGCTAGAATGCAGATAGATCAAATATTAACCCTGAGGCAGATTAGAGTAAGGCTTAATATGAAAGTGTAACTGCAGTGGGAGCTCTGACACACAGTCAGCAACACTGCATGAACATTCTGCACACTGATGCTCAGGTTCAGAGAGGTTTCACGGTAGCCGTTCCACAGTATGTAGCAGCTTGCTGAAATGTTTTCTACCCAGTGCTGAATTGATAATATTTCATGTTATGTTCCAGTTAGCTGAAAGGGCAATTCTAGGACTATCTAGAGAAAATGTCCTAAATATGGTGGCTTTATAACAGAAACAGAGATTTTTGTAATTGAGATCAAACTTGTCAGAACTAGTGACTGTAATTATAAAGGTCTTGCACAGCAAAACTAAGCTGATTGTGGCCATTATCATCTATGTGATTTCTTGAACCCCTTTCATGGAAAGGTGCTGACATACTGTCAGTGCTTTGACATGGAATGGTGCTGTCAGGGTGAACTTCGTTCAGGTTTAAGTGTGCAGTTTGCACAGGTCAGTGTTTTCACCGTAAAGAGGTAGTTGAGATCTCATAATGAAACAGAGACAGAGACAAGTGTGCATTGGGAGTTTTGAAACCAACCCTTGTCTGATGCACTCCTCTTTCCACACAGGAATCTATTATTCCTTATTCACAGGATGATAGAGTTTGTGGTGCGTGAAGGCCCCATGTTTGAAGCCATGATAATGACCAAGGAGAAAAACAATCCAGAATACAGGTGAGCACTGCTGTGCGTGGTCTTGCGTTGTTCTCCCAAGCTGCCTTTTGAGGTACATCTTTAATTTGGCCATTGTTTTTTGTGTTAGGTTCCTTTTTGACAACAAAAGCCAAGATCATGTGTACTATCGCTGGAAACTGTTTTCTATCCTGCAGGTATGACTTTACTGTAAAACCCTATTTTTAATCATTTATTTATGAAATTTTGGTGGGGAAAGGTCACAGTGACCTCACGCCCATCTCAGCCCACTTGGACTCAAGGATGAAGTGATTTTAGATTTTGGTAGTCAAAGGTCAAAGTCACAGTGACCCACATCTGTCCCATTCTTGTGAATTCGGTAGAGGTATACAACTGCAAAAATGTAATTTGATGTATGTGAGTTTGCATGCTGCCATGCCTTCATCCCTCCCACAGGGCGAGTCCCCAACAGAGTGGAGGACCACAGATTTTCGTATGTTCCGAGGTGGCTCCTTATGGAGGCCTCCTGCCCTCAACGACTACTCTCAGAGAGGTGAAGAGATGGCAGAAGTGGAGGAGGATGCACCCCCTGAGGAGGAGGTAAAGAAGGGGCAACTCCGAACTGAGTAAGTATGTCTTAGCAGGCGTAGAGAAATTTGTAATTTCAGCTGAAGTAGTTGTATGTAGACATCTGTCCTGCTATAAACCCCATAGGCATAGACAGAAATTGGAGGCACTGCTTAAAGAGCTCAGTCCGAGCAGAGAGGATATTGCTGATGCCATGCTGTTCTGTCTCGAGCGAGCCGATGCAGCAGAGGAGGTAGTGGGAGTCATCGCTGAATCTTTTTCCTTGCTTCAGACACCCCTGCAGAAGAAGGCTAGTTTGCTTCCTTCAAGTTTTAATATGAACAAAGCTGCCCATTGTGTTTAAGTAAATTTTGATTCAGCTCTCATTATATTTTGTTTTGTCCTCATTTCCATAGATTGCCAGATTGTACCTCGTGTCAGACGTTTTGCATAATTCATGTGCCAAAGTAGCTGGTGCATCATATTATCGTAAATAGTAAGACTTTCCCTCGCTTCAGCTTTAACACTTTGACCATGTTCTATTTCATCTCAGTCTGACAGCCTAAAGTGTTTGTCTTTTCAGTTTTGAAGCAAGGCTACCACAGCTATTTGGAGACCTTTATGCAGTGCACAGAAGCATACAATCCAGGCTACAGGCTGAGCAGTTTAGGGTATTCATGTCTTTTATTTGCCCCACACAATGACATTTATCAAAAAAGAAACAGAAGATGATTTTTGATCTCCTGTCTCTATAGCAAAAGGTCATGAGTTGTTTCAGAGCATGGGAAGACTGGGCCATATATCCAGAGCCTTATCTCATCCACCTTCAGAACATCTTTCTAGGCTTTGCCAAAGCGGGTGAGGAGTTGACAGAGGCAGCAGAGGTGAGCTGAATATTGTTCAGATCATTATAGACATTACCTTTTTCAAATGGCATTTGCTCGTGATGAAAAAATATTTGGATATGAACCACCCGAAGTGTATGTGCATTTTTCTGTGTCCTTGTAGGAAGAATCCTCTGATCTCGATGGTGCACCAATGGAAAGCACACCTATAGATGGGTTACCTTTGGACAGAGCACCTGTGGACGACCTCGACGGCTGCCCCCTGGGCTGGGACCCTCTAGATGGAGTCCCTGTTGATGACATAGATGGTGTACCCTTAGGAGTCACCATTGATGATATTGATGGAATGCCCTGTGAGTCCACCACCTATCCAAAGCACATCTTTAAACCAGAGGTCCACAGTTTCCTGTTGTCAGTTACCTGCCAAACTTTTGTTGATCACCTGTCCTTGTCCTGACTCTTTCTCGTCAGTGGATGACAGAAATGTTCCTCTCTCCGGAGTGCCTTTATCTAAATGGGAGAAGATAGTCGATACTGGGATATGTTCACAAGGTAATACGGGCCAAGAAACACTATCATATCAGTCTTCCCCTTGTGAACATGCTTATCTTTCTCATTTCCCTCTCAGCCAGGACCGAGTCAAAGTGGGACGCGAAGGTGGAGCAAGACAGTGAAGATGAAGTGAATGTAAGGTAAGAGTTCTGTGATTAGTTTCAGTTCATTAGCTGTATTTCCAAAAAGCATGCAGACTATACATAAATGCTCTAATGGTGTGGGAACTCGTAGCTCTCCTCTCCGTCCCGGCCACAGTGTCAACTCGCAGGATGGACAGGACAACTCAGAGAGCGACAGTAGTGAAGACTCCTGCAGGTTGCCCAAATATGACAGTGCAGACTTCCAGAGCTCCGTCAGAAGTTTTCAGATGTCTGAGAGCAAAAGGAAAAGGTTGAGAGAGCTAGAGGCATGTGCACATTTTTCACAAATATATTTATCAATGTCACATTAGCTGAAAACAGTGGCTGTCATCCTGTGGATCAACCCATCTCGTTTTGAAAGACGTACGTACTTGTTGCCACACTGACACTCAATACTGAGTTTAAGCCAGACGTATACAGCATTTTATTTAGGAAGGAAGCTATGCTATTGAAATAGATTTTTAAATTTATAACCAGTTGCTGAATAGAACGCTTAGTCATAGCTGTCAGCATATCCTACACCAGTTTACACTTAATCTATTGTTGGCTCCCTACTGTAGCAACCCTTTAAAATGTCAAATTACAGTTAATAAATACACAGAATAATGAATTAACAGAATAACTAATTAGATTGATCTGATGTAGGTAAAGGTTATGAAGATCCAAGATGAGCTGGAATCTGGCAAGAGGCCGAGTAAATCTGGAATGAGCATACAACAACAGGTGGAACACTACAGAAACAAACTGCTACAGAAGGTGGGCTACTGGACACCTTCTGTTAGTGTGGCTTTGAATTCATATTGCATGTTTTATTTTACTGCAGGCATCTTTAATTACCATAGTGGTTAATTATACAGTTATTTACCTTCCAGTATTTGTTATGCAACCATCTTTTACTATCCAGTTTGCTTATATTTTACAAGTTAAACATTCAAAGTTAGCATTTTTTCCTTTTACTGGAGAAGTTTCTGTTCAATAGTAAAGTAAGAACAGAGGTAACTCTGTTCCAGGTATTGTTGTATAATCTGACCTCATTGCTGAAGTACTTTGAAAATAAAATCTGGAGGGGTTACCCAAGATTGACACCTCAACTGTGCCACAGATTTCTAAAAGAAATGACTATTTTGTTGAACTGGTCGGACATAAACCAAACATCTCCCCCTTGTGGAGAACTGCAGATTAGGTGTGAATGCGTTTGTGCTTTATTAGTCAGTTCCATGCCGTGTTTTGCATCTTAGAAGCCTCTGACTTCTAATGTCGTACCCTGTCTACTATAGGAGATTGAAAAAGACGCAGAAAAAACTGAGCGGTCAACACCAAAGTCCAAAGACAAGCCAAAAGAGGACAGAAGGGACAAAGAAAGGAGCAAAAGAAGTGAAGATGGGGACAGAGGAAGAAGACGGAGTTCAGATCCTGCTGACCAGACCAGAACGTCAAGGAGCATCTCTCCTTTGAAGCAAGTACCATGTTTGTAGTGTACCAGTGCATTCTTCCTGATCACTATTCTTGAAGTCAGTCTGCTATCTTATGTTCTACCCGTTTAACAGAACAAGGTCTCCCAAATGGTCCAAACGTTCCCGATCACCATCTCCAGACCAGAAGGTGAGGAAGTCCAGGTCACGCTCACCATATCGCTCCAGCAAGAAGACAAAGAAGAGCAAACATTGACTCTCAGCTTTGGACCTTGTCATCCATCAGCTCACTGGTGTTAAAGGGTTATGCTCTTAACCAGCCTGGCATGTCTGTTTTCTTGGTCTTAACTTGCATCATCCATGCAAGATTCAGCACTTTTGTATGATGAAGTCTGAACATTGTAACTAATTCTATATATTTTTGTTTTGTTTTAAAAATAACCAGAAATGTTGCTGCACACTTCTGACACTAAATAAATCACTGGTGGTTTATGAACGTGTGTGTGTGTGTGTGTGTGTGTGTAGAATGAGGGCCAGGCATCAATATTTCTTTCTCTAATAAACTGTTGACACTGATCTTAAAAATGGTTAAACAAGCAGTTTTCTGGTTTGTGAATTTTTATTGAGGAACTTAATATAGCATATTTTGGTTTACAAAAGCAGTAAGTATGTAATGTTACACTGTAAATTTACAGTATTACATAGAACAAGTGTGCTTTCACTGATCAAAAAAGGTATTACAGGTACTCAAGAGCCAGTGTTGATGGAAAAAAATTGAAACCCAGCCCTAATTGTTAGTAACCATATACAGATTTCCTGTCATCCAGACACATTTTAGAGGAAAGTCTGAGAAGCTGAATGTAGAAAACTGATTTAACTTTAGATTTTGTAGGAACAAATGAAATTCCAGAAGACCAGACAAACTGTTATATCTCTATGTAAGACAAAATATGTGACTGACATTAGGACAGTGTTTTGCACTTGCATTACTTTAATTTTTCTGAAATGTTGGAGCAAAATAAACTTACAAGGTGCCCATACTGTTAAAGCCTTCTAAGCTGTGTTCATTGACCATACACTTGTAGATTTACACAAACATGTCTGAACAGATTTAGCTTCAGTTCTTTTTCTAAATTTTAATGTCAAACCATTCACAGTTGCTTGGTATTTTAAAAAAAACATTGAAATGTGACAGGAACTAGACCATGTCTGCTTTGTACAGTCCATTTCTTCTACCAATCCTCTTACCCGTTGTTCATTTTTGGGCTCTTGTTCTCCTGAAACAGCTCTTTGTCTCAGAGCAATAACCATTAGGTAGCTGGGTGACGGAGGCAGTCCTATATTCTTTAAAACCAATGCTCAACATGGGCCTGAACATAAAGAGCTGACGACTTCTGCGACGCTCAATACTTTTTCACATTGATAAAAACCTTAATGGCTCCAGTGAAGTCAGCAGAGAGAAGAACCTCTGTGTGATCTGTCTTCAGGGCTCCTGCAAATGACAATGCAATTTTAGCACCCTCACATTAACAATCCTTATGTTATGAAATCTGTTCATGAATCACTTTAAGTGAACACACCTGAGGGGATTGTTTCAGAATCTGTGGAGTCCAGGCTCTTGCACTCTGCTTCTGGTTTCTCTGCCCCTGTTTCTTGTGGAACAATGAGGCCCGGGTGGGGTGCAAAAATGGCTGAGGTGACCACAGCATTGTGTGCTGAAAGATAAATACTGCGTTAGTAGCATATCAGTCAGAGGTCACACTTTACTACATGAGTAGCTCTATTAAAATGCTGTTTTAATGCAACTACACACAGCACAGTTACCTTTAATTCCTTCCCAGAAGTCATTGCGGTCACGTCGTACAGATGTGAACTTGCTCAGGTCATGATAAGTGCTCCAGATGTACACGTACTTATCCTCTGATCCACTGACGATGAAGGAGTAGTCATGGCTGCAGGAAGGTGGCCCCAAAATAAATAAGATTTTATTCCAAGATGTAATGCAACATGTAAATAAGACTAGGTGTGCTTAATGGGTCTACAGTAAAAAGGTCTAGAGTATATTCAAAAGACCCCTTGCATAGGCAAAATAATTGCCTTTATCTGTATTACATAGAGAAGCTACAAAATGCTCATGCCAAAACTACATGACAGGGAACAGTCCTCACCTGAAGCTCGCCTTGATCTGGCTGCTGCTGTTGACATAACCCTTGTATTTCATGGACAGAGACAAGTCCCTAAGGTCATAAAGGCGAATGCGGGAATCATTTGAGGTTACTAAAATCTGTCAGGGTGTAAGGAGAAAGCAAATTTGTCAATTAGTCTGAATATCATGCCCCATTGTAGGGGCATCAAACATACTGCCCATGTAGAGGAAGTCAGACATTACCTTATTCTCTCCAGGTAGAGGTTCAATGCCAGTGATCTTGCGTCCAACTTTGTTCCTGCCTCTAGTGGACCTCACATGAATTTGAGTGTGGTATTTCAAACGCTATGGAATATATAAACAGAACAAACTATGTTCGGTTCAACCTGGAACACAAATTTAACATAAGGACATGACTGAGTACCTCTGTGTCATAGAAGATGCATCGACCATCATAGGTGCCAATGACAGCATACTTCCCATTTTGGCAGAAGTTGGCAGCAGTGATGAGCCGAGTTTGGCCATCTACCTCATTCCACAACGCCACCTTCTTGTCTGGAATGTTCCAGAGCCGAAGCTTTCCATCCAAAGAGCCACTTAAAAAGTATCGATCATCCTGGAAAACAAACAAAAAGCATTAATGAAAATACAAGAGATAAAATCAACCATGTGATTTGTGCTAAGAGAAGAAATGCAAGGTGACAACTTACTCTGGGATGGAAAGCAATGGCTGTAACAAAATCAATGTGTTGGAAGCAGCAGAGACACTCTCTCCTGGATATGTGCCACAATCTGACTGTTTTATCCATCGAAGAAGAGAGCAGAAAGAAGTTCTAGATTGACACAAAAACAGAAAAAGTGAGACGAGAGACAAAACCAGTACAGCAAGAATCAAAAATGTCTGAAGTGGGACCAAAAGATGAAGAGAGGGCAGCAGCACCTTAGACCAGGATAAGTCCAGCAGATCAGCGGTATGGCCCTTGTACTTGCAAAAGGGGACGTGACGGAAAGGGGCATTTCTATCTTCTGTGTCTTGGTCCTCTGGAACACAGCTTGCCTAGGATGGGAGTACAGTCTGTTAGAAACAGATAGCATAAAATATGCAAGGCTACAAAACTCACACATTACTAAATTAGCATATTAATACTCCAGAAACACTTGACGACCCGCTGATCGCAGGTGGTGCTAATTTCACTCACCCCTAGATCTGTGTCAGATTTAGAGGAACATAAACTTTCCTGGGAAGGAGACGGTGAAACTCGACCTGGAGAAGCCAAAACAAACACAATCTTGCTGCAGCATCTAAACTAAAATAATCAATTATCAGCATCTGAGTTGCGGATCCTATTACCTTCAGTGTTGTACTTTATTCTCATGTTATTGAAGTAGTCAAAGGCAGTCTTCAAGACCCAGATGCGAACCACATTATCTTGCCCTGCGGATGCCAGCAGCCTCCCACAGTGCGAGAACTTCATTGTCCAAACGGCCCCCTGAGGAAAAGACGAAGACATAAAAACAAATAAGTATTCACTGGTGCACATCTTAGATGCCAACAAGGGGGGTGGGGAGGGTTCTTACCATGTGCTCTCCGCTCAGGTCCTGTACAACTTTAATCTGATCAAAATCAAAGGGACCCTTGAAGCTGTGTGCTGCCTTGAACTTGGCAGGCCTGGTGTAAGGCATGCCCTCATCGTCACTGGATGATGGATCATCCTGATCTGTGTGAAACACTGAACCCACCCCAAACAAAAAAGCATAACTGAGATGATCTAAACCTTTGCAGCAGCAATAGCACTATTTCTTAAGCATGTGACATGGGAAAACCCTTTAAAATGAGCGCAACCTTTTGTAACAGTTCACAATCTGAGAAGTTCTGTACTAGCTGTTAAGATTTTTAGTATGTAGTGCTTGTTCCATGTCTAATAGCCACACATACAACAGTGAAACATCATATGCAAGTTGGATTCCTCAGAGAACTCAGTCAAATCAGATGACTTATTGGAAAGAAATTTTACCTGCATAGACCATATACATTTACAAATAATCCTAACCATATAATTTCAAAAAAAATATTATTACATTTGAGGCATCTCCTAAAATGTAACATCTGGACAAATGCCTTAAATTACCATGTTCTTTTACCTTCATCACGCACACTTTTCACTTTGTTGACTGCCTTCTCTCCATATTCCTCAGCGAGATGTTTGGCCTTCTTCACAGATTTTCCCAGGAATTTTTTTAACTGGGTTCTGGTTAGAAATGAGGACCAACAAATTATTACATTCTATTTTTGATTATGTGGTGAGAAAGAGAAGAAAAATCAATTCCAGCAACAGGTTACAAGAAGTCACTAATTGTTACGTTTTCTGTTTCAGTTTTCCTCCATCTGTGTCTGCCAGAGGGGCCTGAGGCTTGTCATCATCATCTGACTGTGCTGCATCATTTCTGAGAGGAAACAAAAACACAACAGGTCAACTTCTTCTAGAAAATGTTCCATGTGTTTTCATATTGAAGCTTAAAAAAAAAAAAAAAAGCCAGGAGAGTCATTTTCTGCTTACGAAATGTACTCCTTGGTCCGCCTCATGATGTGCAGAGTAAGGGGGTTAATCCCAGCAGGAAGTTTCTCTTCTGCCTGGATTAGAGGAATCTCTTCCCCAGTATCCAGATTCTTGATCATTACACTGGCCAGGATTTCCTGTTTAAGGTAACACACAAATATGAATTTGGCACACAGAAGGTTGCTAAAGGTAATGTCCAACATGGTGGGTCACGTCTTGCATTCAAGCTAATCAAGGCCAATACAAATAAAAGAGGAACTCTTACATCATCTGTCAGTTCTCTACCAGAGTTGGAACGGGGACGCTGAGGGCCTGGAGTTTGACCTCCACTCTGAGATGAGGCTTGTTCATCCTCATTTTCCTATTAAAAAAAAGTCACTACAATTGATAAGCAGACTGCACCCCCTTTACAGTTTCACTTTTGAGCAGCTCTGGGTGAACACCAAAGAGAGGTCAGATTCACAGCCTCACTCACTTGTGCTGTCACCACCTTGTCCCCACTGGTAGCACTGGCCAGATCCAAGGAATGCTGCAGGTCTTTGGTTAGACTCCTCACTGTGCTGCTAGGAGAGAGCAGGCCGGACATCTCCAGGGTATCACTGCTAACTGGAATCACTGCAGACACTGAACAAGCAAGCAACAGTACACAACATGTGATCTGAAAGAACAATCCTGTATTCCATCTGCTTTTCATACATGTGCAGCAGAAAACTCAAAGGTGCATACTGTGTACTGCACTACAATGTCATTGTTAGTACAGCTTTGTACATTGTTAGTGGTTGTTTTTACTTAGTACAGTAACTACAGTAAAGTAGCTGTTAGGGTTAAATAACATTGCTTTTAAAAATGGAGCTTTGTTTGAGGACATCTTGCACATTGATGACATGATTTCTCTGACCAATCGCTAGTCTCGAGTGTTTACACATCACCGTTTGGTAACGCCTCTGCTCGCTTAGAACCTCGATGAAGGTGATCCCAAAAATAGTACCAGGACATCCCCTGGTTGTTGGCCATCCCCAACATTTGACTGATGGGAACACAAATAAGGTGAGTCGAGTCGAGTTGAGCCAGTACCAGGTGGTGGAAAAGGGGCTTAAGAGCAACACATCTGGGCTTATACTCACAGCACTAGGTCATAGCTACAGCTCTAAAGGCTGCACAACAGCAATTAAATCTGTTAGTAATCCAATAATATCTTAAGGGTGGAGTTCAATATTTCAAAACCCACTCTGGATCAAACTAACACTTATCAGCTTTAGTGCCATTAACTGTGCACTGATTTCTCTACCTTCCAGACTGCTTGGCCTCAGACACTCCTGAGACTTCTTGGAAGGTAGACATTGCCAAGATGGTGGAGGCGGTCTTGGTGGAGGAGCTCCACTGGGAAGGGGTGGGCGTGAGGGGGCAGGCTTCTTGGTGCTGGCTACAATGTCTGGTTCCACTGTGAATTGACGTGGGGGTTTTTTAGGTCCAGAGGAGTCTGAATCAGCCGGCCTGTCTGTGAGTTGGACCTGGTCTAAGATGTCTGCAGGTCTCTGCTCTTGCTCCCCTTCTGCAACAACAGCCTCATCTGACTGACTCTGTCCTATGGTGCTGGTGATGTCTAGGGGCTGAACATGTTCTGGTGGCCCAGATGATGGTCCTGGGAGATTTGGGGGTTCAGTGGCAGGTACTGAGCATGCTCCATTTGTTGTTTCACTTTCCTGTTGTTCCTCATGGCTCTCAGCAAGCTGAGGTTTGACAGCTGGTGTTGGCAGCTCTACAGGAACTTCTTGCACATTATCCTCTTCTTTTGGCTCCGATTCTGCTCTCACATCAACATGCAACTGGTCTAACAGTTGAACCACTTCACCAACATCACTTCCCTTTTGACTCTCCTCAATGATGCTATCGATGATCTATGAGGAAGAGAGAACAAGTGAGTTCATTTAGTACAGCAACTACAGTGGGTACGGAAAGTATTCAGACCTCCTTAAATTTTTCACTCTTTGTTATATTGCAGCCATATGCTAAAATCATTTAAGTTATTTTTCCTCATTTATGTACACACAGCACCCCATATTGACAGAAAAACACAGAATTTTTGACATTTTTGCAGATTTATTAAAAAAGAAAAACTGAAATATCACATGGTCATAAGTATTCAGACCCTTTGCTGTGACACTCATATATTTAACTTAGGTGCTGTCCATTTCTTCTGATCATCCCAGAGATGGTTCTACACCTTCATTTGAGTCCAACTGTGTTTGATTATACTGATTGGATGTGATTAGGAAAGCCACACACCTGTCTATATAAGACCCTACAGCTCACAGTGCATGTCAGAGCAAATGAGAATCATGAGGTCAAAGGAACTGCCTGAAGAGCTCAGAGACACAATTGTGGCAAGGCACAGATCTGGCCAAGGTTACAAAAAAATGTCTGCTGCACTTAAGGTTCCT